ATTCCTGAGCCCATGTTGTGATTTTCATTACAGTAGCATTCCTGTATGTGATGCAGTGCCGTCTAAGGGCCTGAAGATCACGGGCATCCAGTATGGTTTTCTGGCCTTGACCCTTACGCACAGAGATTGTTCCAGATTCTCTGAATCTTTGGATGATATTATGCACTGTAGATGATGATAACTTCAAACTCTTTGCAATTTTTCTCTGAGAAACTCCTTTCTGATATTGCTCCACTATTTTTCGCCGCAGCATTGGGGGAATTGGTGATCCTCTGCCCATCTTGACTTCTGAGAGACACTGCCACTCTGAGAGGCTCTTTTTATACCCAATCATGTTGCCAATTGACCTAATAAGTCCTCCAGCTGTTCCTTATATGTACATTTAACTTTTCCGGTCTCTTATTGCTACCTGTCCCAACTTTTTTGGAATGTGTAGCTCTCATGAAATCCAAAATGAGCCAATATTTGGCATGACATTTCAAAATGACTCACTTTCAACATTTGATATGTTATCTATATTCTACTGTGAATAAAATATAAGTTTATGAGATTTGTAAATTATTCCATTCCTTTTTTACTCACAATTTGTACAGTGTCCCAACTTTTTTGGAATTGGGTTTGTATATATATATATATATATATAATTTTTTTTTTTTATGTTCAACATAATAATTCAACTTATACAGGTTTATATAGGTTATAGGTTTACTTAAACAGGTAAATGATGACAAAATTTTCTATTCCTGTCACACTAGCAGAATAACCATTGGTTGTAGTTCATCAAAATAACATGTTCCACAATGTTTGACAATCAGACTTTTTGACTCTGTTTTGAACAAAATATTAATTGGTTTATATATTGAAAGTTAACAGACTTCATTTTGATTGAAAAGTGTTTTAATGCTACATTTCTTTTAAATAAATGGCACTTGTTTATATACACATTACTTAATGGACTATATTAAAATGAAAACTTTAATAATTTTACAAAATAATTGAATTAAAAGCAAAAAATCTAATGTTATATATCCATTTATATCCATATAAATAAAATGTTATACCAATATATATATTCCACTACAGATGGATTTTAATTCATTCACTACATTTAAACATTGATATTGTTCCGAAATAAAAAAATTTCCTTACACTCACAATGCAAACCAAATAGTACACAAAACTAAGATTTTGAACTTAGAACTCACGGTCATTGTCATGAATGATCTGAAAATTTTTGACAGATGCTTGGGTGACCCTGCCATGGAAGTTGAGCACATATGATTGCGTATCATCGTTCCACACAGGCGTCTTGTTGTGAAGCTCTATCACACTCTCAGTGCTTTTGTTCTGCCATCGAGCCAGTAGAGACTCATGCTCCTGCAAAACAACAGACAGATGTGGGATATTCATTGCCTCGTACTAATGTTTTACATAAGACATACATTATCTAGTATTTTACTGGTCATGTAACACAAATGACACAAGTAAATTAACAAACTGAAAAAAATTTATGTAAAAATGAGTTTAAAAACTTCAATATGATATCACATGCACATTTGAACAGCTTCTTCTTATTTTATTTTGAGAACTGCAATTACCCTTTTGATATTCTAGCTATGTATGCACAAACAGACCAACATGCTGCATTTACGCTATCCTAAACAGCCTTGCACTCACATTTCGAGGCCTTATGGAGACTCTTTCATGGTCCATGTTCATTCCAGGAATAATGACACTCATCTTTCGAGGCCCCTTGAACCCTAAAACATTAGTTTCCTGCACAACAGAACACAAACATCCGAATTACTCGCACATCAACTTACTGAAGAGGAATTCTTAGAAATCATTCATCTACACAAGCATTTCATTTCCTGTTTTTCATTCATCAGTGGTATTGCTATGTATTAAAACAACCAGCAGAGGTCAGGCTTGGCTCATCGTTGCTTGTGGCTTTAAGACTAGTGCCCTTAGGGCTGGGTGCTGGCTCTGTGGTGGCTCTGTGCTGGCCATTGACCAAGATCATGCTCACGAACTCACGTAGCAGATTGCGGCAAGCTCCTGTCGTAGATTCCCTGCTTCTAGGCTGGAGGTGGTCTTGACTGGGTTCACACCGCTGTCATATACCGTAAACTTGGTACCCATAAGGTTCGATCTGTGGGGATGACATCGGATGAAATTCATACAATGAAGTTTCCATCGTGGCACAGCGAAGGGATGAACCTCCCAAAGATTGTCAAGAATATGTTCAGGCCATAGCTATTTTACACCAAAATTATACAATTTTTGAGTAGCAATACGAAACATGGCATTTTAACATTTAATATAAAAAGTAGTTTTTAAACGTAATGAGATTCAGACATCAGCATGCACACAGTTGCTCTCTTCTCATATGAATGAGGACACTCTAGCACACAGGCAATGAACCCAATTACAGTTTTAAATAGGTTCAGCAGTGCACACATGCACACAAACTCATTAAAGGTCCCTCTAGAATGTTTAGAAAGAAACACATGCCTCTTGTCTGTAAGAACAGCATTGATTTAAGTTACGCTACCTTATGAAACACACGACACAATGAATCATTCTTAAGTATACCTCAGTTTGCCAATAAAGCTCTCGCCGCCTCGTGATAGGTCAGTAGGGTCGATGGAGATGAGGTAATTGGATGTTTTGCTCTTCTTTCTCTTCCTCCCGGCTAAAAGGAAAACCTAATGTATAACAGAATTTAATTGGTCGCCGAATAGCAGCACAAAACTGACATCAAAAACATCCAACAGAGATTGAGACATAAACAAACAATCAGAGACTGTGTTTCCATGTTTCCATAAACAACTATTATTAGAACACTAGCATTTTCACCAGCTAAAACAATGGTTTTAAGTCAGTTATTTCTATCTTTTGCTGTAGTATGTCAGTAGGGGCATTCATTTTGCCATTAACTGTAATAATCCAGTGAGATTTTTGTCTGACAGCAACCAGTGCTCCACACAGAGATCTGATCTCATCATCATCCAGTCTGTCTGGAATGACACGAAGAAACAGAGCAAACTAAAACAGACTAAATCCAGAAGAACTGTGGCAACGTCTCCAAGATGCTTCAAGAAGACTACCTGCAAAGCTACAGTACTGTTAAAAGTTTTAGCTATTAACTAAATTAAATCAAAGTTTAGTGTGACCATCCTTTGCGTTTAAAGCAGCTTTTGCCCTATAGGTGCACTTGCACATAGATTCTCAGGTAGCTTTGCAGGGAGGTCTCTTGAAGCATTTTGGAGACGTTGCCACAGTTCTTCTGGATTTAGTCTGTCTAAATCCTGTTTCTTCAGATCACTCTCCAAAAAATCTCACTAGATTATTACAATTAATGGCAAAATGAATGTTAGGAAACATAAACTGATATTTCCTTCTGACACACTACAGCAAAAGATAGAAATAACTGACTTAAAACCATTTTTTCAGTGCGTGTGTGTGTGTGTGTGTTTAATAGTTGTTTATGGGAAAACATAATTTATAGGGAAGTTGGCTATATGCTGTATGTGTTATTTTGTTTTTTTTGTACATTGTTTTTAACATATGATTTACGATTTAGTCCTGATATTTTTAGGACAAGCAGCAATATTATAGTTAATTGTCATTTAGCTAAATCTCCCTTCAGGCTAAATTTGGTTCCTTTCATCAGAATCAATCGTTTCAAGCCCTTCGGCAAATTAGAGCAATGGAGTGTCACTGATTGGGCTTGATTGCTGTGGCACAACAATGATGACTTCCAAATAAGCCAAAACTCTTTTTGAAAAACTGGAAATAATCAGTGTTTCGTTGTGCCTGACCTTCTTGCCATCCTCTCTCTCCAGATGGAGGTAGTAAGTGGGATACATGCCCCTGTCCATGCCCTTCTTATCCCGTGTGATCCGGCATTTCACAGTCACCCCTTGGGGTGCGGGTCTGAGACTGAACTCCTCCAGGTCATCCACGTCAATGGATGGTTCATTGGCCAATGGGGAGGAAGCTGAGGTTGCCTCCTGTCACATTGATTAGGCAGATCGAGATCGATCCCAGTCAATTATAAATTTACACGGTAGATTATTACAAATACACAATCATATTTATGTATATTATGTATTTTTATTTAAACCTGGAAAAAACAATACATTTTGTAAAACAAAGTAACTGTAAAATGAGGTAAAAATTTAAAATAAATAACCTTTTTGTACATGTAGATTTGTTTTTGTGTTTTTTTTTTAGCCCTAAAAAAGTTAAATCTAGGTATAATGTCAAGTGAAGGGAACTCCATTGTGCAGACGGTCATATGTGCTTGCTTTTATTCAATGATAAAAATGTATAATAGAAGTATTTCCACTAGAGCACTCAGCTGATGGACCCAGCATAAATGAATCAAACGTCCCTGTGGTCTTAAATGTAAGCAGCTGAGATTAAAACTGAAATGTTAAAGAGCAACAAAGCAGCCCAATGACGTTAGTAGGGTCAGACTCAAGAGACATGGATGAGCCACTACACAACCAAATAAATAACAGCTAGATTTAGACTCCACGACTTTAATTTACTGAAATAACTTGGAGAACTGACAAATAACATGTTACAAGAATGTGTTTTGTTTTTTTCCACGCAAAAGTGAAAAATACGAGATAAAGATATAAGTGGTCACCCTTTCTTTAAAGTTAACAGATTTTAGTTTAATGCATTTCTCTTTGCATTTTTCTCTGCAGTGTGACAAATAAATACATCTTTAAAATGTCCATGTAGTATCTCAATTAATAAAAGCATAAAAATTATTAAGAAAAAAATCTTCTTCAACATAAATTTAGATTAAATATTAGTCACACTACAGATATTCTCCCTATTGACTTATCTACTAATACATTTTTATTTTCTACAAAACACTGTACATTGTGATCACCAGTGAGACGGTGGTAAGAGCAGGGGTTTCAAACAGGCACGGCTTCCATCAAGTTATTTTAAGAAAGTAATCATTTCACTGTTGCCATAGGAAACAACAGGACCATGACCCTCCATTTCCAGCATTGCAGGTTTTGTGCCAAGGTAGACACAAGGGAATACATCCTAGCATGACAATACACAGACTGCTTGTGTCAGCACTGTACATGTAACACAACTGGACACTGAGGCGATCACATTTGGAGCTAACACACATAGACCACTCAAAATAGCAGTCAACCTTCAATTTTAACATCTCAGAATAGACAGGAATGGATAAGAAGTGACCTTTACCAGCACTATGCAAAACTGCTAGCTGGGGAATCAACAAAAGATACAGTCGACAATGTATCATATTCTGTAGGTGTGGTGGGTAACTCAGAATCTTATTGGTGCAGAACTGCATCTAATCCAAGGATCTTTAACCTTTTGCAGGCCAAGGACTGCTTGATGTATGGAACAGTGACTCTCTGTTATACTGTAAAAAAATTGTTTTACATATTAAGCATGGCCTATCACAACTTGCATATAGTACCATATGCTTAGATTGCAACCCCATTAAAATAATAATTTTAATCTTTATTAAATTCTCTGTACAGACGTTCAGAGTCATGTATGTGTGTATTGCAATTTAATTTTACTTCCATGGATTTTAAAGTTAAGTTAATGCTTTAAAAATCTAATATGGTAGGGACAATGAAACATTTCTCTAAATTTTACTTTCTTAGCTTTAGCTTTATTTAAACTTCGGATTTATATATTATATATTTTACTATATTATATTTTTATTTAATACATATTTTGTACAAAATACAAAAACCACACACATTTCCCCCCAAAAATTACAAAATACACTACTATTTAAGATATATATATATATATATATATATATATATATATATATAAT